TCGCGCCAGGGCCAAGCTGCTAGCTCGTGCCAGGGCCAGGCTGCCAGCTCGTGCCAGGGCCAGGTCACGCCAGGGCCAGGCTGCTAGCTCGTGCCAGGTCCGGGTCACGTCAGGGCCAGGCTGCCAGCCCGTGCCAGGGCCACGCCTGTGCCAGGCTACGCCTAGTGGGACACCATCAACTTAGCAAAGGCAAGTTGCTGCCAAAGTGGTCCCGGGTGTCACCTAGTTGTTCTGAGGTGCCAGGCTACATGAGGGTGAGCTGCCTGTGGCGAGCTGCCTGTAGCGAGCTGCCTAGTTGTCAAGAGGCTGCACTTAGTTGGCATAAGGTGCTAGGTGTCACAATGTCATTGGAGGGCCAAATCCGCCCTCATCAAGTCTGTTAGCTCATTTGCCACCAAGATGCTATCTAGCATTTGTCTGTCCGGAACAAATGCAAATTGATTCTTAGCAATCACTACATTAAGAACTTTTTTAAATCTTTCTGCAAGAACCTTTGCCAATATTTTGTAGAAGCTGTTCAGCAAACTAATAGGTCTAAAGTCTTTAATGTTTGTTGCACCAGGACCCAGATGTGGGTTATAAATTACTCCTTGCGGTTCCGGTTTTCATGTTACTAGTCAGATTTCTGTGCTTCTTGTTCTTTGAGGAGAGTTGGTATCAACTAAACTCAGCAAAGCATTGACTTAATTATTTGGAATTGGCTTTATGGTGTCAATGCAGTTCGAAATAGAGAAACTGAACAGTTTTGTGGTGTGTCCAAGTGAAGTGACCACACCAAGAGAAAGATATTTATATTAATGAAGAGTAAAAGGACAAATCTGTCCCCAGTATACAAGATGTATAATACACAGTGATAAAATAGATAAATATGTACAGCAAGGAGTAAATTTACAAAATTAACCCTCACTGTCCCTGTATCTACATATGGTTCTTGCCTCTCCATTACACTCCTTGCAGTTCTATATTTTATGTTACTAGTCAGTTTTCGGCTGTTTGTACTTCTCTCTCTTGATCTGTGTTTGTTGTTCTTTGAGGAGTCTAGGTATCAAATAAACTCGGGGAAGTGTTCAACTTGATGATTTAGTGTCAGCTATATGAATCTAGCTCTAGCCTCTCCATTGCACTCTAACAAGGACCATAACTTTTGTCAAATTGTAACTCCTTAGATTGTTTCTTATTACTTCAGTCAATATTTCTTTTAGTTTTGGCCTTCCCTTGGCTCTTTTAGAGACTTCTACTTGCACCAAGTATCTCTTTATCACTTGTGCAGTTGTTAATTACAAGTATATATGCTATGGTCCCAAGTTTGGATGAAGGTTATTTCAGGTTGGCAGTTAGTATAAAAATCTTTAGCCAAACCATATGAAGGAAGTTACTGTCCTTTGGGCTATATTTATGAGGTTTGTGACGTGCAACTCACTTCTCAAGGATAAAATAGTATAGAGTTAGCCCATTTCTTGGAAGCATCTGAATGGATGATTACTTATCAACTAAAGGGTAAACCACATTCATTTTGTCTGTACCAGGTAGGCTGGTTTTGGCACAAGTTTTTGACTCCCAAATTGACTCCATGACTTCATCGAGTTGACTTCATCACAAGACACAGGGAGCCAAGTCACGGTAGTGACTCCAAATGAACATGGCTCCTCCAAGTGATTGATTGCAATGACTTTGACTCCAGTCTCAGTTACTTGACTTTTCCAACTCCAGGCTGAGTTTCATGATTATATCATGATTTCGATGTCATTACTTTTAAGATGCACGCTTTTCTATACAAACTTTAGATGAATTAATAATCATTCATATATTATGCAGACCTATTTTATGTTAGTATTATTGGATTATAATTATATGTGTTTGGATAAAAATTTGTTGCCAATACAAAATATAATTACATTATTATAATTTAAAAGAAATTACTGTTGTAACATGACTCCCCAAGTTGACTCCAAGATTCCTGAGTTGGCTCTATCACTGGCTTTGTGTAGCTGAGTCAAGAGCCTGCTGCTCGCCACACTGTGCGTAAAAGGCTACATAACCTATCACAAGTGAACACAGTGTTTCCATACACATGAGTGTGGGTCCCATGTGTATGGAACACTGGCGTCTTCACTCATGAAGTCATGATTGGTTACATAGTTTTTACACACAATGTGGTGAGTAGCAGATCCTGAGTGAAGCAAGAGAGCCACACCTTTAGGGAATATTCTTTTTCGATAAATGGTGAGAATTTCATTAAAGAAGGAAAAAGAAAATATTCTTGCACAATATTTGTAACTAGGTCATCATTTTACATGACCTCTGGATCTTTTCTAGTATATCTATTTCCTCCTCTCTCTCTATTGTGGATATTTTCACTAGCCATAAACTTTATTGCTTGAGTTCTTAGCCAGTTATGTTACAGGGTCACCTTTTCTAACAAGAGAATCATATATGAACTATATTGAGGGTGAATTGTTTGAAAGAGGATCTCACCGATATTTATTTTGCATTTGCCAGGTGTTCCTCTTCCATTATTTGGTATGGTTGCATATGGTTTGGTTGCAGCACTTGGTCTACATCTGGCTGGAAAGAAATTTCTTTTTGGACTCGGTGAAACTAATGGCCGCTTGATTTTACTTGGGACCACCACTTCAATGGCAGCAGCTAGTTCTTATTTTTTGTATCTTTTAAGCACAAAGTTTGCAGGAGCATCATGCTTATACTGTTTAGTATCAGCTTTGCTGTCTTTTAGCTTATTTTTTATTGTTTTAAAGGTGTGGTTTGGGTAATTTGTTTTCGTAGTAACTACTCATTTCTTTGATTTAGTTTTCAATAAGTAATCAATTGCTGGTTTTGTGTATGGCATAGGAATTTGGGTTGCAAGAGATACAAAAAACGGCGGGTCTGCAGTTATTAATAGTTAGCATAGTGGTTGCTTCTTTAAATGTTTCGTATAACACTTCTAAACCTGTTTCTACGAGGTGAGTTACTTGATTGTGATGCAGATTAGAATTTCTGACATTCTTTTAATTCTTTTAGTGTTATGCTTTGAATGACGTCATTATTTCATGACAAAACTAAAGGTTTTCTTTCTTGCTTCTGCAAATGGTACTTGCACATTCCATTTAATTGTATGAGCTACTATTGTGCAACTGTAACAAAGACATAGGATGACTTGTGCTCCTACTTGAAAGAAAAAGCAAATGTTATATAGTAGTCTCATTGTTAATATTCTATTTATTCTATACGTAGGTAAAAGATCTTTGGCCTTGCTTGATTCATATTATTTGTAGTAAGCACTATAAAAAAATAATATATTATTTGCTGTAAACTGTGGAACTATTGAATGCAGCTTCCCTTCACTATGGAATTCTTGAATGAAACTTTTATATAATTCTTTTGTTTCCTATAGAATACCATGGCTTATCTGGAACTTTGCCAATGCATATATTTGCAATAAGCCCTTAGGATTGTATAGGCAGTTTCTGGCCATTTTTTGTGCTATTTCTGTCTCCTTCAAAGTTAACTGTTACAGTGAATAATTGTACAAGTATGTCTCCATGCAGAAACCTATTGGAGAAACCTATTTTTTATTTCATGGCAGATTTCCCCCCAAGATTTCATACCCACCACCACTTATGGCGTTAATAGTGAGTGGACAATTAAAAAATTGCATACTTGTTGCTAATAAAAAAAAACATATTTTTTTTTTTTTTGGATAAGTGACATTTCTAGGCCATGGAAGGCAATGCACCAAACATGGTTCTAAGTATTCGATAATCTCAATGTGCAAAGTTTGCCTATTGAGAGATTGTATTGATCAAAACTCTTTTTCTAATAATCTTTTTTTTTTTTGTATTATCTTTTGACAGGGTCTTATCACATCGCCCTCTAACATATAAAAAGGCTGAAATCTCGTAACTCCCCTAAAATAGCGTACTGGTGACCCTGAGATACAATATGGGGCATATTGTATCAATACTTTGAACCTTGGTATGGTGCCAAATAACACTTAAAATCCAGACATCAAAATGACCTCTTTTTTTTGATAGATAAAGACAAAATGGTCTCTTATGATCGGTCAACTAATCTCAACCATTCATACTATGATTTTATCTAATCTAGCTTATCTGAATGTACCAATCAACCCAATGATCTTGGCCTTCAAAGTGGTCTTCTAAGATCAGTGGATGAAGACCAAGATTTCATCTAATCTAATCCATTCAAGTAATGCAAGAAAATTTGTACAAAAATCTAGGCCACATAAAGTGATGCATCAAATAAAATCTAAGATCTGGAGCATTAAACTGGCCTCCTATGATCATGACTAGAATATCTTTCTTAATAATGTTAAAAAAGGTAGAATAGTCCTATAAACAAAAAAAAGGCATTTTAGGGTTTTAGACATATCTAACAAAGGCACGGGATCTTCTTAGATGGAATGATAACATAGTATTATGTGATTATTGGGTAATATCTTGGGGAAGAATCTGCCAAAAAATAAAATATAGGGGAAGTTCTAGGTCCTTGAACTTTACCTCTCCAAAAAATCTTCAAGTATCATGCAGGCTGGTTACTTTATCTAATGCATTCTAGAATTCAGAAGATTGAGATTAGGTTGTGACTGTATGTTGAAGAATGGCCTGTTTCACGCTAGTTTGTGACTGGACAAAGGTGTTGAACATGAATTGCTCTTGAAGTTGAAATTTTCTGTCCTTATGTTGCTTTGAGTTGGAAAAATACAACATTGGCTAAAGGTGTGGTCAGGCTTGGTTGAGGCTTTGAGCATTATGAAGCAACCGTAGCTTTGTTATATATGTTATATTTCTATATTATAGATTCATATGTGAGAGTACAAGTAGTTAATGTTTTGATTTACTGGTGTCTCTTCGGAGACATCCGATAAAATTGGAACGATACAGAGAAGATTAGCATGGCCCCTGCCCTGCGAATGGATGACACACACAAATTGAGAAATGGTCCAAATTTTTATTGATCAAAAAAAGTTTTGATTTACTGGTTCTGTGATCTTTTTTTCTTCTTCTACCTAAAGTGATATTATAATCCAAGCCAATATATTCAGCCTAAAATAAGTTGCATTGTAAAAATACTTGGCTTGACCGCTTGATCACCTCATGTCAGACCAAGTTGCATGTTGGCTTTTTCATTCTACATATTAGGATAAAATCACACCAGGCATGAGCTTGCCGGCCAAGTTGAAGTTGATTCTTTAATTGAGAGACTTCACTTTGGTTATTACACAGCAAGTCATTATATTCATTGTGAGAAAAAATTGTAAAGTTGCAATACTTATTTCTGTTATGAATGAATTATTTGTTCTCATCGTATTTCTTATTTCTCTTTTAACAGCTTTGCTGAAATTGAGCTGCAACCGTTTACAATTGAGATAACAACAGAATCAAGTCCTCTGTCTCTTGCTCTTGCAAAGCATCTAAACTCCATAGGAGCTAAAATGTATGGAGCTTTCTGGTGTTCTCATTGTCTAGAACAGAAACAGGTACATTCTCTTCTTTATATCCCACAATATCCCACTCCAATACTGAACAGCTGTAGATAGATGCTAATGCTTTAGAATAGCTTCTGGATGCAGCTAAACTGTTCCACAGAATTCCAAAGTCTTTCTGATATAAAGCTTGGCTTGCTTAGGCTAAAAGGGTACACCTTAACAGAAAGAGGCAATACAGGCACCAAATCAATCATAATTTGAAATGTCTCCTAGTGTCATTCAAAAACATTTTCATTGATAAATGTGGTTGTTCAGTGTTTTTCATGACTTGCTTCAAATCAAGGCTGATCATTAACCAGGATAGGAAAGGGCCATTGTTTGGTGCAGTGATAAAAACTTGGGCTGAAATGTAGGGTTCAAGTTTGAGAATGGCCACTTTGTGCAAGAAAATGCAAAAGGTTAGGTTCATAATCAGTGCACCTCTTTTAGGACCTCAAATAGCCAGGGCCAACATTGGTAATGGCCTATTTAAATAGCCAGAACCAACATTGGTAATGCCCCTTTTTTTCCCTTGTCATTAGCCAGGCTGGGCTGGGCCAGGTTTCATTGGGACTACAAGGGCCATAACTCAGTTGGAGACTGGCCCAAACCATGCCTGGACCTGAAACCTGGTCTCAGCCCAGCCTTTTCCTGGTGGGGTGGGCCACTGGACCTCCTTCCATGATGAGTTCAATCTCTTTTGTTGTTTATGTTTAAAATTTGTCACGAAGGTTTATAGCATTTTCCTGCAGTTCAAGGGGTTTACTAGTTTGGACCTTCTTGGGTCTTCAAAGCTGTAAATAAGAAACACATGTTATATAAAATACAATATATAACTAAGGATGAAAATGTAAATGGAAAACAAATATGAGTAACTAAGATCCTTAAACATTAAATAGGAGGTATAATATGTTCAGCATATATAATATATAACACTATGTGTTTTGGGAATAATAACATCCCCACTGTGACAATGTCAGTGGGGTTAGCATCACTCCTAAATTTACTTGGAAAAAGACTATCCCTACTTGAGACGTTATAGAAACTTAACGAATGTGGGTTTTAGTAATTTAATCTTAGTTCCTTTTTCATTCTTTTTCCTGTTTTCTCTGAGCCACTGACAAATCACACTGAAATGATATTTCTTCCTTCCTATCTCTCAAAATCAGTGACTGACGGATGGGGTATAATGCTGAATCACATATAAGTTACAGATGTCGGGAAGGGCTTGTAATAAGAGACATTGATCTAATTTATTAAAAAAAAAGAGACATTGATCTAACAAGAAAACTGACCATAAAGTCCAATTTTAACCAGAACAGTATCTGCTAGAGAAAAAATGATATCTCAGTTAGCATAGCAAAGAGAGATTAATTTCTTTCTTCATTACTCTTTCCTTTGTTTTCTAAGATTTTGATTACAGCATTCCATTATCGGATTTTGATAGTTGATGCTAGCCTGTGAGAACAATGGCCAGATGTTGCAATTCTGCTCATTTACAAATGCTAGTTCTGCTTGATGCAGCTGGACAGTTAATTGAACTCAGAAAGAGTGCTTTTGTGGAAGAAGAGAAGAAAACAACATGACGATACATGGCTACAAACTAGACTTAGAAGAACCCATCAGATTTGCAAGACACCCATTAAATCTTTACTGAAGTTTCTTTTATGGTGTTGCCCTAAATGAAATGAGATTTTAGAACATCTATAAAAGGTTTACTCTTCTTATTTCACTATGAAAAACAATTTAGATATTGAGAGAACCCAGAGATTGAGAGATCAAAAGGAAATGAAAGGCTGACAATACAGATTTTGAATAGCTGTTGAAATGAAATTAACATGTACATCATTTACACTTGGAATTGCCAGAGAAGGTGACCAGAAGCAGGGGGGGGGGGTGTTGAGGTGATGTACATGCTAATTTCATTTCAAGTGTAAGAGAAATCCACACAAGTTAACTTTTTCAATACCCAGTCCAAGAGGAATTTTCTTCTATTCAGTTTTTGGCTCATCTGCTTTGGACCCTTTGTGCTGTCAATACAGATGTTTGGGCGTGAAGCAGCAAAGCTCTTGGACTATGTCGAATGCTTCCCAGATGGATATAGGACAGGAACCAAAATAGCCAAGGCATGTTCGGATGCTGGAATTGATGGCTTCCCGACTTGGGTGATAAATGGTCAGGTAAGAAAGCTCTTTTTTCTTGGACTGGTTATAATCACCATTCTTGTACTTGGTGTTCTGTTGTTATCAGTCCAAATTACAGATTTGAATACAACCCCAGAAGAGATTTTTGTTATAGTGGGCCCTTTCTTGTTTACCCTGGGGTTTGCTTCATAAATGTATGGTGGTTATGGTTGCACTCTTAAAACCAATCAAGGTGGGAGCATTAAAAGCACATGTACTGCTATTGTGTTTTGGAACCACCTATTTCTTGAGAACGCAAGCACAACTTAGGTGTGGATGAAAGATGCCTTGGGTTTTAAGTTTTCCATACTGCTTTACCTCCAAGTGCAAAATCTATACATGCATCATATATCCAACGCCGACTGGCCCACTATAAAATTGTGGGAAAATTTTAACTAATGAGGTTGGATGATCAGAAGCTTTTTGATCTATAACCGCACATTAAATTCTAAAATTACTAACATATTGCCTGAGGAAAGGGAATTCCCTAAATTGATCAAGTGAATCAGTTGATTTTATATCTAGTAGATTTGATTCAAATTTTATTATGACAATTATGATTAGCAACAAGTAGATCAGGTTACTTCATTAGTTAATAGCAAAAGTATTCTAATATAGAATATCCATCTTTGGTTCTTGTGCAAACTGCTAAATTAAATCACATTAAGAGAGGGTGGCAAGGAACAGGAATTTATGATTGAGGAGAAACAATTGTTTTTAGAGGAATTTACAATCATAGGTGATAGGACATTAGCAATATTCTGAAAATTGTAAATTGTGAATCATAGTGTAAATTGTGATGTTATTTTTGTTTTTAGAAAATTGTCGAAAAATAAGTGTATACTAATTACCTACATATAAAATGATTTCCACCATTTTTAATCTATACCCACCATATATATGTACTTAATATAACTAAGATTTACCACTTGTACATAAGAAACATAAGATTATATGACGGAGTTTGACTTGAAAGTTATTCATGTATAATGGTTCTTAACCTACTTAAGGTTTCTAAATAGGTCTTAAGGTTCAGTTTGAGAAGAGTACAAATACAAATATGTACAATGCAAAATACAAGGTTTAAAAATATGGTAAACAAGGTTTTGCACTATACATATTTGTATTTGTACTATTCCCGAACTGACTCTAAGGCTCAGTTTAGAAGGAGTACAAATACAAATATGTACAGTGCAAATACATACAAAATAATACAAAATACAAGGTTTTGCACTCTAGATATTTGTATTTGTACTCCTTCCAAACTGAGCCTAAATAACATTATAAATCTTATTGTAGCAAGGGTTTTAAAATAACGGCCTTTTGAAAAGAACTAAAAGAGACAGAAGAACGACAAAGGGAGCTAGGTTTCGATCACATTGATTGGAATAGTGTGAATTGTATAAATCATAAGATTAATGGGTCAAATTGTAATATTCAAATGATAAATATAATGTCTTTTTAAAGAAGATTTAAAAGTAAGATTGAAAGTGTAGTGAAAAATGATTTTAGGGTCCATAATCTAGCTATGGTTATGGCACTTTGATAGAGCAGAATGGTAGAACAGGGTTCATTCGAGTATTCAGAACTCAGAAGTAAAATTCTGAACTGAAACTGTGGGAACTCATAATTCAAATTGTGAACCATCTCATAAGTGCTAAGACTTTGACAATAGTGGAACCCATCAAGAAACATGTCATACTTGAGGCTGTTTGTTTCCCCTTAACTCTATCTCTTAAGAAGAATCTTACAACTTTAAGAGGAAAATGGATGTTCGTTTCCTCTTATCTCTTAAGGCCCCACCTTGTCTTTTGTGGCACTGTGCAACGTGACATTGCTTATTTCTGTTGCTTTAAGTAAATCTAGTAAATGAGTTTGTGACTTTTATATGCAACTCTTAATTTTCTTCTACTTGTAGACAAGATGGACCCATGGAAAGATAAGCCTGACCTTGTCTCCAAGTGTTTTTTCATTGGTCCTCAGTCCTCTATATGCCTGTTGGTTGAGGCATATAAGAATGGCATTAACTCGTAAAGTATAAAATGGGATAATTAATTGCTCATTCTTCACGTAGCACTCTCTACAATCATCTACCTTGTTTGGGTGTTTAGAGCCTAGAATACACAAAATTTATGCACTAAATCAGAAAAGTAGTTGAGTTCATTATTAAATGGTGCTTCAGTTTCAAGCATTGACCGTGTATTTATTGCAGGTTTTGAGTGGAGAGCAAGATTTTCAAGAGCTTGCACGAGCCTCTGGATTTATTCCTGAAGATTTTGATCCTGCCACGTAAGATCCCGCATTGCTGTTGTATTAAACTGAATGTACAGGCGTACAGCTACAGCTAGTGCAGCTTATTAAGGCATTGTGTTGTATTTGTTCTCTGTTTTTAAGTAGGTCAAAAAATTTGGGATGGTTTTTTGGAGACCAGATTGGTTGGAGAGAGAGTTATGTACACTGGGCTGGGCTACCTATCACGACTGAACACACCGGTGTTCCATACTCGTAAGGTGTGGGTCTCATGTGGGCCCATCTGTACTGGACACTCATGTTCACTGTGCATGATTTGGTCTCCAACTCATTTGGTTCCGTTTTTTAAAGCAGTAGCACACCCCCTCCCTCAATTTATACGGAATAAAAAGAAAAAATGAAAGTAAAGTGAAGAATAGCTCCTTTCTATAAATCCATTTTCCAAATGTTTTCTCATTCAATATGTTCTCAAGGAAACAAGGTTATAAGCATGTTCCTTGAACATAATCAAAGTGGTATGGTTTAAATATCGGTTGCATTTAAATATCATATTAAATTCAGTCTGGATCCGCTACAAACAGGATGTGCAAGGGGCGACCGCCGACCGGATCTGCTACCCATTCAGCTTCCAACATGATCTATGGTCAAATATGTTTCGCACTTTATGATGTTATTGATGGGGTTATTACTTTGGATGTGCCGTGTGAAGCTATAGATCATGTTGGAACTTGGAAGCTGTGTATAGCACATCCAGACTAGACTCATGCAAGGGGCTATTTGAAAACCGCTGAAGCGCTGAACTGGATGGCTTACTTATTTAAGGTTCCATTTGGGAAGAGTGCAACTACAAATATGCATGATTCATGCACAGGCTCCATTTGTATTTGCGCTCTTGAACTTAAATGGATAAAATAATCAAATAATAAAATAAAACCATCAAACATTCTCACAGCACTATACATACACGATCAGATTGTGATGTCTGAAACGCAGAGGATTTAGGCTGTGCTTGGTTTGTCAGAAATAAGTGAGAAATGGAAAGTTTGAGTGGAAGTTTTTGAGGAATTTTACAAAAATTTGTCAGAACTTAACGCTGTCTTTTTTATCAAACTAAACAATAAAACATAGACTCGGTGTCCTCCAATTTCATTCCCATGAGTTCAGGCCACACACGTCTTGGATAGATTATTCGGAAATGCCACTCAGTATTTGCGGGATAACTAACCAATTGACGAGTGAACACACTAGTTAGTGTTTCGTACGCCAGAGTATGAATTTGATTATATTGTAGGTTATGTAGCGCACGATTCACAGGGTAGGAGCAGCAAAAGGCTCCTGTCTAGAGTTGATTGTATGTGCAACATTAGCAGTGGCCCGTGCATTTGTTAAGGGAAAGCTAAATAATATAAACATATTATTGGGGGTTAGGGCTGTTCATAATAATGTCCAATCCGACCAAACCGATCAACCCGGACCGATCTAACCTGAGTCGGTCGGGTTTTCATCAGTACCGGTTGGTTTTGGGTTGGGCAAATATATAAATCGATATATCGGGTCGGTTTTGGTTTTCTTGTGTGAAAACCGAAACTAATCCGACCCGAACTGAACTAGTAAAAGACTAGTTCGGTAGTACCTAGTTTGAATAGTTTCCTACTTAACTATAACTAGTCTTCTACCAGAATTAGAAGGCCCATTAGGCAATTACAATTAGAATAGGCAATHTATCMTADTTTCTAACTTYCTMTARTCTTTTACACCAAATAGGCAACCCATTAGGCAATTACAATTAGAATTCAATTAGGTGTCCTTTTGTACAGGAGCAAAACCGAAACCGACTCAAACCGACTAGGTCGGTTTGGCTTATCAGTGGATCGATTTCGGTTTCCACCTCAGGTAACCCGACCGGGTCGGGTCGGTTGGGAAAACCCCAATAAACCGACCCAACCCGACCCGTGAACACCCCTAGTCGGGGTTTGTGTGACGTACGGGCTTTGTTAAAATAACTTGAGGCAAAAAGGAGTTAAGGTGCAGATTGCGTAAGCCTAACTCGGGTTCGATCCAATTCAATCAAAGATTTTGCAAAGGTTGAGCTTGAGTTTTCAAACTTCAAGGTGGACTTGGGCTAACAAACTGAAGTCTAACTTAAATTCAGGTTGAGGGCATGGGTAGCCTTAGTCCAATTCGATCAATTTGAGCCTGTGCAACATTTTGTGATATACATATCTACATATTATTAATATATTCTACCCAGAAATTGGGCAACAAATCTCAACACATTCAATCTTAAGGCCAACCCAAGATGTTGGTTAAAGCTTAGGTTAAGGCTAGGTTGGTAAGAGAAAAATTATTGGTAATTTTCAATAATTACTGACAAAAGTAGAATGGCAATAATTACTGGTAATTTACTAACCCAAGCCTGAGTTTAACAACCCAAGGTTAAGCCCATGTTTACCAATTTAGGACCAACTTGAGCTTAACCTAATATCTTGAGCTAGACTTGGGCTTGGGTGTATTGAGCTATGTAGCCCAGTCTATCACAAAATGTTGGCATGAGCTCAAATGGGTTGGATTGAGCTCGAACTACTCGAGGGCTCAACCCAAGCCCATCCTGAGTTTAGCTTAGCCTTGAATTTTTTTGGCTTAAACCCAGCTTAAAGTTCAAAAACTCGAGCCGGACTTGTGGAAAAACTTTGGTTGAGCTGGGTCAGGCTCAGGTTAGGCCCACCCAACTCAAGCTACAACCCTAGCTCTTTTTGCTTCAAATTCTTGTAACAAAACTCATACTTCTCATGGGTCCCCTCTGGTAATTAATAGCACCAATTTTAATTTATAGTTATTAACAATATTATTAATTACTAAAAACAATAATATTTTAAGGTATTTTTATTCACGAAAATAGTTAATAATGATTTTAAAAATTTATAATTAATATTTTAAAAAATTATGAATACATATATAGTTATTGTTAATAATTCTTAATTATGCATTAACAATCTTATAATTCTTATTTTATAAAAATTATTAATGTTGTTAATAGTAATATTCAGTAATATTATTAATTAATAAAATTGATATTATGAATTATTTAAAAAGTAATAAAATAATTAATATAATTATTCATGTAAATAATTATTAAATTTTAAATTTTAATCTTAATAAAATAGTTATTTATTATTGGTTATTAATTTGTTGGTAATATGTCACTAACATTAATTATTAAAAATAGTAACATATTTTGGTATTAAAAGTTGGTAATTCTGAATTAATGATGAATATATAAATAATAGATTTTTAATTGAATCTTGGGAGTTTCTAATTAATCCCAATATTAAAATAGTAATAAACAATTAATTTAATTATTCATGAAAGCTATTATTAATTTTTAAATTTTAATATTAATAGAATAATTAATTTTTATTGATATTTAATTAATTTTGGTAATATAGCACTAATATTAATTACTAAAGAGTAATATATTTTGGTAATTCTTAATAAAACATGCATATAAATACTATATTTTAAGTCAACTTTGGTGTTTTGTAATTAATCCTGAAAATAATTAATTAATGTTGGTAAACTATTATTAAATTTTCGAAAATATTAGTAATTAATCCTAAAAATATTAATGAAATAAAAATGATTAATTATTATAAATAGTAATATTGTTTGGGAATTTTTAATTAACCCCTAAAATAATTAATTAATTTTGGCATGAGTTTTAATAAAATAAAATGAAATGAAATTATTAATTATAAACAATTTTTAATATACCATTCAAAGTAAATGGGCATAACTGGGTTGGATTAATGAAAATCAAACCACCCGATCTAAGTAGTGAAGAGAGAGAGAGAGAGAGAGAGAGAGAGAGAGAGAGAGAGTTGGAATGGGACTCTAATGAAGAAGAGAAGGCTGCCATGTTCCTATATGGATGGGCTTTAGGCAAGTTTCCATTTGTGTGGATCGGGAGAGATTATAGGAAAAAATTAGAGAGAGAGATTATAGGAAAAGATTTCCTAAGTTAATGGGGTTTTCTTCCCAAAATAAAGTTAGTGGGTTTTCTTCCTATTTTAATGGGGAAAAAAGGGGAGATTGCCATGCTAGGTGGCAAGTCCATGGGCTTCTAGAGAGAATCTTGCACCCCCTCTAGAATCTTGGTTTGGGTATCGGTGCAAAGAGAGGGCTGCTCTGCTGACGTGGCAAGCTCTACTTTAGTATATATATAGATAAGATTAAACAATTGTTTTATATTTTATCTTTTTAAATAATTAGTAATTATTTATATTTTATATATTAGTTATAATAATTTTTTACAATACAAAAATAACAATAATATTCATCAATACTCCTAATTTCAGTTAAATTAATAGTCTAGTCTCTAATAAACAGCAATAGTTTAATCTCCAATAATCATTGAAAATATATAGGAATGCAATAAATACAATAACTATTGAAAATATGTAAATAAACCAATAAATATTGTAATATCAAATAATAGTTTAATCTCTAATAAATATTAATCAATAAATTATAAAAAAATAATTACTAAAACATAAATTTATAAGTACAATAAATTAAATTTAAAAAGTTAAATAGTAGTAGTTTAATATTTACTAATGATTGAAAATTTTCTGTTAAATAACAAAAAAAAATAGATTTATACATAATTATTGAAAATATATTTATCACAAAATACAATAAATATAAATTTTAGAATATATAAATATATAATAAGTATAGATTAAGATTGTAAAATATTATTGATAAATATTAATTTTTTTAAAGTTATTTTCTAGAATTATTAATTGATATAAGTGAGATTAGTTATTTACAATATTATTTAGTTATTTAAATAATATCATTATTTCTATTTTTAAAATATTAATTATTTATTGAATTTAGTAATCAATAAATTTATAATTTATACTATTATTACATAATTTATTTATTTTAAATATTTAAAATTTAGTTATGTTAAATATCTCATTATTTAAAATATTTAGTTATTTAAATATATAAATAATATGTAAAATATTCATTTTTTGTTATTTTTAATTTTATTTATTTTAAATTTATTATGTAATATTAAATATTTTGTTATATAATTATTTAGATATTTTAATATTTTGTTATTGAAATATTTAAATAATATTTTATTTTTTAATGTTAAATTTTTATTATTTGATTAACATTTAAATTGAATAATCTATAAAATTATAATTTGTATTGCTAATAATTTTGTGATGAATTTTTTAAAAATATAAAATTATTAATAGTGTAAAATATTATTGAGTCTATTGTAATTATTTTTTGTGTTTTTTCATAAACATTTTTGTTTGTATATAATTATGTTATAATATTTATATAATTCTTAATT